GGCCGGCGAAATATATATATATTTTTTTATTTTTAGAAAAAAAGTGAGGGACAAAATTATTCTGTGGCCGCTGCTGATATTTGGGCCGACTTTTGATATATAATTTGAAATTGGGCCTGCTGACGAGCCATACGCGTGTGTCGTTATACTGCGCTTTCAAAACTCGCATTCGTGTAAAAATATCTGCAATCCCTACGACGATTTTCTCACACTTCCGTCTTTCAATTCGACCCAAAAGGTATTCTCGCGCACGCGCACACACAAGATGGCGACGGCGACGGCGACGGCGACTCCATCGGAAAACCCTGTCAACGGCTCAGATGTCGTTTCGAAGCCTCCGGCCGACGGAGACGCTCCATCGAAGCAGACGCCGGCGTCCTTCGGCGGAGGCGTCGACGAATCGAAGGGCGGATCTGCTGCTGATACTGATATCCAGAAGAAGATGAAGCGCGCGGAGCGGTTCGGCATGCCGGTGCGGATGACGGAGGAAGAAAAGCGTAGTTCCCGATCTGAGAGGTATCCTTTTCTTTGTTAGCTTATGCTACTGTGTGAACCCGAATTAGGGTTTCTCTCTCCCTCTCCCTACTCTGTTTCTTTTCGTCAGGTGTTTGTCTGGTTGTTCGATATATATTTGATTTTGATGTGCTAGAGATATGAACGGAAGTTTTATTTTCTAATTGTTCCAGCTCACGTTGGTAGTACGACTGTGGAGGGGCTTGGTTTTGTCAGTCTCCATGTTTAGGACAACATTGGAGAGAGTTGTGGTGTTCTGAATTACATTCTATCTTCAGTTGGTGCTAGTTTTGTAGTAGATATAAGTTTGTTGAGACTTATGTTTTACTCATTTGATGCTCATTGATTTATAGTTATTGTGAGGGCTACTTATTTTTCACTGAGTTATTGTGTTTAATCTTTCTTTTGATGAAGGTTTGGCTCTGGGTCTGCTGCGAAGGTGTCAGATACTAAGGCATCGGAGGACCTGAAGAGGAAAGCTAGAGCAGAGAGGTCTGTCTGTTGCTATATGTTTCATAATCAACATATGTTTCTGGGGTGGGTTTGTGAGCCATTGTTTGGTTTCTCTGTAGGTTTGGGATTGTGCAGTCTGCTCAAACTGATGAAGAAACAAAGAAAAAAGCTAGACTTGCTAGGTTCGGTTCAACACCGAACACCGATTCAGTGGAGGAAGATAAAAAGAAAGCCAGAGCACTCAGGTTATTGTCAATTTTCACGTCTTCTACCGTGTCTAATAACGTTGTGTTCAAATATGTAATTTGAAATGTGAGAAATCCGTATGAGCGTGAAACACTGGTCAAATAGAGGGCGCCATGTGGCTAATAATTTGACATTTTTGTTCCACACTGTTTTGCAGATTTTCACAGCCAAATTCTGGTTCCAAGACAAATGGAAAAGGGGATACTGAGGTGGTAAGTTGCACATGCTTTTTAAGAACCAGGCTGATTATCATTCTAATTTATTGATCTTTCTGTCTTTGTTATTTTTGTTGTCAAATTTCAGAAAACAAGTACTGCTGGCAAAGCTGGTGCAGGAACCTAAATGAAAATTCTTTACGTTGATTAATAGTAAGTTTCTTTTTACAATTTTTGGGCCATCCTGTTCAAGTTCAATCAGGATTTCTTTTATTCAAGTATCTTGTTCAATGTGTTCTCTTCAGTGCACATTAAATTCTGATTGGTTTTGTAAACCTCCCATCTCTAATGGTTTTATATAATTATGCCGTTCTATTTTCAGGGTAGTAGGTGAACGAGCTAACCTTTTGCTTTCCACCCTGTTGCTTTCATCTTGCCTCCCCGCCACATCCTAACGTAGCCCTCTATCATGACCTTCAGCTGATGTACAAGAGTCTGGTTTTCTCTAGTTTAAAATTTATTTAGTTAAGGTTTTCATGGTTAGGCCCAAGTTAATTAACAGCAACCTCCTTTGTGTTAATACTTTTAAATTAGTCTATCAACCATATCTAAGTACCTACTTATTGCCTGAAAGAAAAGTCTGTTAGTGTCTCATGCTAGTTTTTTTATCCTTTCGTTTTTTTCTTTTATTTGTAGTTTATCATTTATGTCTGGTTATTTCTAAGTTAGGTTTCCTGCATGCTTATTCATGGTTAGCAAATCCATTTCGTCTTAGGTTATGGTACTTTTTTTTTCCTTTTTTTTTCCCTTTTTTTCTTTCCTTTTCCTTTTTAGTTTGTTCTTTTCTTCTATTCTAAGACCCTTTGTAATGCATGGATTTGTTTCACGCTTCAATTTTGCTACAGTCCTTATCATTTTCAGAAGTGTGCTTTGTGTCAACTTGTGTGGGTCTGCATAAACTTACCAGGATAATCTAGTCGTTCGTGAGTCAATGTTTCGGTTTGTCTAGAGTTTGTATTTCATACATGAATTTTGATCAAATGTGTGTTGTTGACGACTCATTACTCATTAGGCTCGAAGATGATTCAGTCATTTTGCACTTCTTCTTGTTACGGATTTGTGTTCATGCATCGTGTGGGATAAGTTCTCAGGCAAAGAGTAAAGTACATTTTAACATAATAGTGTGTATACATTTGTACTTGCTTCTGAGTTAGCCAAGGGGTAAGTATTCTTGTGCAAGAATAAAAATCCTTTAAAAATCTGATGGATCTACTGTTTTGGCATTACAGTGCTTTGTTCTTCAGCTCTTGAATTTGGTACAAAGTATACACTATGACCTTACATGGTCTTTGTGTTGAACGTCCTGCGGAAGGAATAAGGAGTTCGTATATGCATTTATATATCTCATTTGAAGCTTTCCTGTTGATATATTTTCTAGAGTTAGAATTCTAAGGTCTTTAATATGGTTGATCTTTCAAACTAGATTAACATGAAGGAGGTGCTGTTTTGTTACTTATGGTCTAACCAGGTCAAATTTCAACCTACAATATTTGTTAGATGTATTGCTATTCGACTATGCTGGCAATCTGTTTCAAGTTCGTCGTTTGGTTTTGTAATGTTTTTTATTTGGGAAACATGTATCTTTACTATACTTTTCTAGAGACAGAGTGATACGAAACCCATTTGGCGACATTTGCTTGATTATTTTTGCATATCGGCGTGGATGATTATTGTGGTGGAATTGCTCGTCGGTATGCACATTATCATCAAGCATCAATTGATTAGTCTCCTGGCTTCCACACTTCTTAAAAATATGATGTTTTGACCTGTCTAAAGGTTAGTCTTGTTTATAGATGAATTTGTTGATGGAGCTTAAGAACTTTGTGTTTGAAATGAAGTAGCCAAAGGGTTTATATGAAGACAAATCAATCAAAAAACTATTTAAAAGTTTGTGTGATCAAACCACTTTTGTCCCTACTTGGTGTAATCAATGCGGTCGGTGTCAAGAAAATTAAATATGTATCTGAAAGAAATATATATTCACTGGCTTTTGATACGATAAAGTTCAAAAACCATAAATTTTAATTATGGGCACCAACATTACATTGGTCCCCCATGGCTAGTGCATATGATGGCTGTGAGTTTCACTTCTTTTTTTTTTTTTTGGGACAAATTGGTGATGAGGGGTGGGAGAGTGTAGGCCATTTATTGCATCTGTCCCATTTTTATCTCACAGTTTTTTACTAAGATAGTGCAGGCCGACTTGTCACACTATATATAGACATGGTCTCGGCTCGGCCCGGCCCGGCTAGTCGTCCCGGTCCCGGCCCGGCCAGCATTCGGCCCGTAGATTGCCAGTTTCGAGAACTGGCACCGTGGTTTTACGGGTCATTTATGGATTCTTGTTTTTTTTTTGGCTGTCCGGGTTCTGTGGGGGACATGACCCTGGATTTTTTGCGGGCCGATTAAGGGTCACCCATGGGAGGCCTGCCGTCCCGTGGCCCAGTCTGTTGACTGGCCATGTCTAACTATATATTTGAGCTTATCAATATTTTTGTTTATGTTGTTAGAGAGTGATATTTATGAACCGGTCCCGGCTTTAAACCGGCCTCCTAATTAGGGTCGCGGTTCGATCCCGTTCATTTTTTTTTTGTCTTGCCGGTCTGGACCGGGCCGAGTAGGGCCACGGGTTGGACGACAGGTTTTTTTTTACGGCCGTACCGGCCTGGAACCGCCCGACACCTCCCAGGTCGGTGAACCGGTGGTTGAGGGCCGGGTCGCGTCCCGGCATTGGCCACGTCTAGAAAGAACTTTAAACAAAGGGGCTATCAGAATGTTTTGATTCAGTTCAAGTCTAACTGTCAAAAGACCGAATCATATGTTTAGTTTTATGACATGAGACATTTTTTCCAACTTTAACTCCTTTTTTACAGCCTTTGTCGAACAAATCACTCAAGAGCCACATTGTTTTCACCAAACTTTACCAGAGCCTTTATCGGCTTTACACACACCAAGAGCTTAAAATCTGACTGGAACTTATGATAGTTCAACTGCTTTAAGGCATGCTAATAATAAATAAATAAATAAATAAATAAATAAATAATTTGACAAAACACATTTCTTTCAAGAATATATTTGTTCCCATTTTCTCGTATTTCAAAATTTATTTATTATCTTATTGCAAATCACAAAATTCTTGTCTGGAACAGTTTTAATCGTTAAACTGGTCGATCTGCCGTGTATTATGTCATGAAATGTCTTCATACTTTTGTATATATTACTTCGAGTATGACATTTCAATTTAAAAACATGCATATGTGTTAAAAGAAACTACGAAAAACTATGATTGTTTAACCGTTATGTCAGCCAAATACATTAGCATAATTACGACTATAGCCCTTATGCAGTTGCATAATTTTGAAAGATAATTGATTTCTCACTATAGATCTTCATCAATGAAAATGAATCTAGAGCATGAATTTGAAACTCTTGGGGAAGAGGGTCCTATATTGCATAAATAAAAGCAATAAAACTAGGAAAAGAAAAAAGAAAGGAAAATGAAGACTCACAAATTCCCCATAGGAACATATACAAACACTGAAAACTTTGTCTCTAACCAACCCTAATCATGTTTACGCGCCTTTTCTCGATCGAACTTTGAAGCTGTTCACGCGCTCGCCTCAATGCATCCAACACTTGCTTCACGGTCGAGTCGAGAACTTCAGGATCGATGGCCGGATTTTTCTGTGGCGTTTGATCAACGGCTACTAGAGCCTTTGTATTATCAACCTCATCTTGATCATCCTCTTCTTTAAGGCAATCGTTAGTCGAAAATCGGAAACTAGCATAGCATATATCACTGTAAGGAAACAAATGACAGCACAAATTTTAAAACCAAGTCATAGTACACTGTCAATTGAATTTATCAAAACATTCTAAAGAGTGTTATATTGGGGAAAATTGCAAAATACTACCCTGGACTAACCTTTGAAAAATGCACTATTTTTTCAACAGATATGCATACTTTCAAACTGAAATGACACGACATACTCTCGGAAAAAAATATAAACAAAAGTACGACATTTCATAATATAAGTATGCATTTTTGTTAAATAAAGTTTGTTGAAAAGGTATGACGAGTCGACCCGTCTAACAGTTAGACTGTCCGACACAAGAAATAGTGAAAAACTAAAAGATAGCATGGCTTGTGAATCTGAAAACCTCACCTCTGCTCATCCATCTTTGGATCATTGAAATCTTGATTAGAGCCCAAATGACTTGATTTTTCAGAATCTGCATCACCTTGAGTTGTTGAACTATTATTATCATCATAAATTTTTGGGTGCAAATTTTGTGGGCCCTTTTCAGATTTGCCATCTTGCTTAGATTGTTGGGTGGATGATAAAGAAGAGGCTGTGGAGGATGGAGATGAAATGTCACTTTTGCCCCCCAAGCCTGAGTAGTACTCAGATTCATCTGAGGCAACATGTGAAATGTTCATGGATTGGAGTTTCTTCATTAAAAATCTCAGCTTTTTCTCAGCCCTGTTTCTTGATTTTGCCTCTTGCTTGAGATGGTTTTCAAGCTCCATTAACTGACCATTTTCAGAAAAAAAAAAAAAAAATAAAATAAAATAATAATAATAAATAAATAATTAAAAAATGAGGAAAAAAAGTTGAAAAATAACATATTTTTTTAAGGGTAATTAGAGGAAGAATCAAATATTCAAATATATATTGCATAACAAATGAAGGGAAAGAAAAAATCTACAAAACCCCTTTTTTTAATTCTTTTATTACACTAAAAGACACTAACTAAATTGCAAAAACAAAATAAATAAACACACACACACACACACACACACACCTTGGCTCCTAATTGTTCTGCCTCCATGTTTGCATTTCTTGAAGCCAATCTTTCTGCAAGCAGCCTTCCTCTCAAGCAATTCACAGTCCTCACACTTTCATCAGCTTCCATTTTTTTACTACTTTAGGAAAAAAAAAAGGTAAATAAAAAAAATTTTAATTACATTAATCATAGTACAAAAACTAGTACAATGCCATTGATAATTTTTTTTTTTTTTTTTTTAAAAAAAATGAGATAAAAATAAAAACTCACCCCAATTTTGGATCTGCATTGTCCTCTCTACCCATCTTCACTTCTTGAAAATTTTCCATTTATTAATAGAGATAAGTTCTCTAATTATTTTTATTTTTTTTTTTTTCCTGAGGGAAGCTTATTTGAAGTTATAGTTAAAAAAAGCCCAATGGGACTGAATAAAATACCTTTATCTTGTCTGCTTCTGTTTAGCTCAGGTTTATGATTTAAAAAATTCAAGAAATTGAGGAATTTATAGGGAGAACCAGTGTTTTGTGACCCGAACCGGCCCGGCGGGTCGACCCGGGACCCGATCGACCCGGAGCCGGAACCGGTCCGGGTGGGTTAATTAGACCGGGCAACAACGGACCCGGTCAGACCCGGTCAAAACCCAGTCGACCCGGCCATGACCCGGTTGACCCGGGGCATTGATCCGGCTGGGTCAACCCGGTTGACCCGGTCTATATGTATTTTTTTTTATTTTTTTTTGTTTTTTAATTTTCTTTTTCTTTTTAAAAAATATGTATATATTTATATGATAAATATATACATATTATTACCACTTTAATCTACAAATTTTACATACAAAAATTTTAAATTTGTCATTTTTATGTATATTTATATATCACAAAATACTCTATATATAATTTTATAAATTTTAAAATTAATTATCCGGTTCAGCAATTGACCCGGTGACCCGGCGGTTGAACCGGTGACCCGGTGACCCGAAGACCTGACCGGGTCGATTACTGGGCCGGGTTTAAAAACTATGGGGAGAACTAAAAAAAGGTTGATTTTTTTTTTTTTTTTTTTTTTTTTTACTTTAGTTTGAGAAAAACAAAAAAAAAGTTAAATAAACAATTGTGTTTTTTTCAAAAATTCTACGGAGCCATCAGATTTTTTTTATGAAGTCATCCATCAATTAATGTGTTGACATTTGTCCAAATTGTATTTATTGTAGTACACGTGTCAATACACTATTAATGAATAAGTGTCGATAGCTCCATAAGTCGAGTCATCGGATGACTCAATAGCAAAACTCGTATTTTTTTTTTTTTTTTTTTGACATATGTCAGAGTCTTGGGGACCTTCAACTACCAATTAATGTATTTTACTTACTCAATTATATAAAAATTTATGTATTCTAACTGTTAACAAGGTGCAGGCAAGTGTAAGTGTGTAACTGCCCCTTTAAATGCAATATTTGGCCTCCAAAACTCAAAATTTTGAACAATTTTATGAGAAGGAAAACTGCTGTTATGATAGGGGTGCATCATTTTCTAGTCTTAAATAGTCATGAATAGATTTAATTTCAGTTCTTGCAGCCTCAAAGTCAAGTAGAAGTTACTATTTTATTTGAATATATTTAATTTCAATTTTTATAGCCTAAAAGTCACATAGAAGTAACTATTTTTTTTTCCCCTTTTTCCAATTCCCTTATCTGTCTGGATTTTTTTTTTTTTTTTTTTTTTTTTTTTTTTTTTTTTTTTTTTTTTTTTTTTT